TCTCTCTCACCCTGAGGAACCCTCACAAGTTGTGCAATACCCCCAACATCTCACTAGGTCTGAGGCTCCAGGTCTGCTTATCCCTGGATTGCAATTTCTGTCAGGTCCCTGCTGCAGGAGAAGCTCTGGGGCTCGGGGAGCATTCTCTGACTTTTTAGCTCAAGCAGCATTTGTGAACTACCCTGAATGACAAAGGAGAGCAGGGAGGTGTAGTGAAACTACCAACTTTAGCCAGGGCCCTGTGGAGAATCTGAATGCTGACACAGCAGCAAAGAAGCTTCCTGACTCCAGGGACATCCGCCCCATACCCTGTCCCTATGGCCATGTAAGGCAGTATCTTGTTAACCCTGCTACTGGTCACTTATGGTCTATTACAGCGACCTCAGGAGGTCTCCATGGTGAGAGAAGGACGAGAACCTTGTTTCTTGATCAGAAGGCTGGATTTATTGATATATGATATATAATACATTATTACTATACTAATAGGAATAAGGAGAGAAGTTGCAGAGCTGCTAAGCTAAGAACAGAAAGAATCTATAACAAAGTTGTGTCCAGTGACTCTGTCCCCAGCTTGCTCCTGTGATTGGCCCCCAATTATAAACATGGAACATGAACCAATCACAGGTGCATCCTATTGCATTTCACAGCAGCTGATAACAATTGTTTACATTCTTCTTCTGGGGCCCTTGCTTCCCAGAAGATGCACAGATCCCAAAGAAAGGATTTCTGTGAAAAAATGTCTGCGACAATGGTCCCTCTAACACCTTTGCCGTTGGTCAGGATTGGATCTGGGCCAAGGCTATAAAAGTAGCATACTGGTCCCCTACTAACTGGGAAGAAGAAGTGTGACCCTTCATGAACGCCTCCAATAAAGCCATGCACGTGGAACAGCCGGTGTCTTCTGCTTCTCCTCTCTCTCTACCGTGTGCTGGAGCCTCAAGCCAAGGGCAAGCTACCTAGCAGGCAAAGCTGAAATCATCAGAGCTGCCTAATCACTAAGAGCTGAATATTCCCTGCTTGCTAGGGGCTGACCCACGGCCTTGGTCTGAGCGAGCTGGCCTCTGGCACTGAGTCCCCCTGGGAGCTGAGCTCTGGAGCTGTCATAGCTTGTTTAGGATGAGACCAATTAAGGCTCATTTAGGGAGGGACTGAAGAGCTGCAGGAGCCGAGGTGTCCATTCCCTCCGCAGGCACTGCACCACAGGCACTCTCGGCCCTGCAGGTTTAACCTCACTCGGCAGGAGACAACTCTCCTGACTGTCATGATGTCTCCAAAGGTAATGCAGCCTCATGAGACAGCGCAGATTGCTGGCAAAACACAGGCACCAGCGTGCCCTGGCCCTGCTCCAAGGGCTTTACCGCACTTTGTCGTGCTGGAGGAGCTGACCCATCGTAGATAAGTGATAACAGCAGCTTTATCAGAGCCCAGCAGCCCAACAGCTGCATCACTGCCTCCCTTCACACCCTGGGGAATGCATTTCCCCAGCACCCACAGCAAACCACTTGCTCTACCAGCCTCCCCCAGACCTGGCAGAGGTTTCTGGCAGCCAGTGAGCAGTTTACAGCCCAAAGCAAGTGCTGACCAGCTGGAATCAATGCAGAGCAATGAAATCAGAGGAAATGACCTGTAAATCGCAGTGATTCCAAATAAACCTGCAATTTAGATCCATTGTTTAGTGTGTCTGCTCACAGACTGTATCTCTGGTAGCTTAATTACTTGTGTGTTTGCCTTGAGAAGTACAGCTCTAACAGTGGAACACTTAAATCCAGCTCAGGAGTTTCTGCTTCACTGTCCTCCTGGCCTGCTCCTGCTTGTTCTGTGCTGCCCAACCCTATTAACTGCTGTAGTATCTCCCTGGATTGCCTGTACAACACATCTGGGGGAAGCTGGAGCCTTGCTGAAGTCATTCCTTCCCCACGAGCTAGGCAGAAATCAGAATTTCATCCTCTGAATCCACTGAGTATGGATTCTTAATTTCTTTGCATTAAATAACCCCTGCCTAGGCCCTTTCTGGCTAAGTCCAGCCTCAGGTGGAGCCCAGAGCAAATCCTCCACCCCCACAAATTCGGTGAGTATGTTTTGCCACCTTTACTGGCTTTGCTGAATCGGGGGATCTGGGAATGATGCAGACTCATCTTGGGTATCTGAGATGGCAGCGGAAAGAGAGATCAGACAGCGCCTGCTAAGTCAGCCAGCACTAAGGAGCTACAGTATTATACTCAGCCTTTTCTCCTAAGGACAATTTCCCCAAACTTGCTAAATCTGCCCGTGAAGAACAGACTGAAATGACCTGATTATTTTTCAAAGGACCTAGTTTAAATAACAGAATCAGGGATTGGAAATATCATTGAAGTCCAGGGAAGACAGGACCCTGGAAAGGCTCAGCTGTGGTGTGGGTGATACAGTGAGATGAGAACTGGGGAAGATCTGTTCTTGCAGGGCCCTGAACCACGGAGATGCACGCTCTGATTGATTCAATTGCTGCCTGTCCCAGAAAGGCTTTGAGGCTTTTCCTTAGGACCAGCACCAGAGAGTAAACCCAGATTCAAAATCCTGCAGAACCAGAGCGAAAGCAGGGTCGGGTGGTGTGGGGCAGTGTCCTGTAGCTGCAGGGCAGGGCTGGGAGCGCTGCCCAGGGGCGGCAGGGCTGCAGGGCTGCAGGTGCCAGCTCACCCCATCCCCTGTGCTGTGCCCACAGCGCATCTCGATGGGGCATCCAGGGGCTGCAGGTGCCAGCTCATCTCAGCATCTCGATGGCGCTGCCAGGGCTCTGGCACACTTTGCTCCCTGCTGCGGCCACCGAGCCACGCCAGGGCGCTCGCTCCAGCCCCGCATCAGCGCACAGCAAACGGCAAAGGGATGTGCTCCTGTCAGGGTGCATTAGCGGGGTTCCTGAGCAGCATTCCAGCAATGCTCCTTCTCTCACACAGCAGCCTTGCCTTGTGCTTCCCGGGCCTCTCTCTGCCTAAAGAGAGAGGTCTTGGCTTGCAGGATCCTGCCGCAGCCCCCCAGAGATGCTGGTTCAGAGCACAGTGCCTTTCCCTGCCCTGTTTATCCATTGCCCCGCACCTCTGGAGCCCCTCATCACCCATGCCATGGCTGGAGGGTGTTAGGGGGGCTCTGCAGGGCTCTCCCCACTTTGGACAGAGTGATTCCTCGCCACACTCTGTTGTACAGATTTGTCCCTGAACTGCTCTGTTCCCTTTCTGGTTTGCCCTTCCAACTGACACTGACTTTAGCTGGGCAGATCCTCCCGTGACAGATTTCTGTGTCAGCACTCTGGGGTTCCTCATTCCTGCCCGCTCTCATCCTGACCTTCCGCTCCAGGAGGATGTTCACACGCTGCTGTTTGTTTGGGGCTGAGGCTCTGAGCTGGAGCCATCCCCTTTGCAAGCCCCTCATTGACAGCCCCTGGCCAGTGTCCCACTCAGCCAGGACCCCTTCACACAGCAGGGGAGAGGAGAAGTATCAGAGCAAAACCCCATGTGGGAGTCGCAGTGCTGATGTTGGGCTGCTGTAAATGACTGCTGTGTCCTCAGGGGATGGAAGGAGATCTTCCACTGCTGCAGTCAGGAGCTCTCTGGGGTATGACACAGTGCTGGGGACTGCCCTGATGGGGAGAAAGTGGCCTCACTCTGTTCTGGGGGTCCCAGCCCCTGCACTGGACTGGGCAGCTGCTCATCCTGCCCAGGACCCAAACCTGGAAAATAGGGAAATGACACCTCCCATCTGATGGTGATGTGACAGTAATGACACAGCACGGATGTGGCTTGAGAAATTCCCCAGCAACTCAACCAAAGTGGCTCTTGGAAGAAGTGCTTCTGTCTGCTTTCGGGTAACTGAGCTGCCCCCAAAATCCTCATGCAGCAAACACCTTGGTAGGACCTTCCCTGTCCCATTCCATTCAGAGTCTCCACCTCTGAGCCACTTCTCCCAGTCCTCCTCTCACTCCAAGGGAAGGGTGGGAAGGATGCTCTGTGATTTTCCAGGAGTGGCAGGGATGCATCCCCAAGGAAGATGAGGTGGCTGGAGTGGGAAGTGTTTCAGCACAAAGCAGATTTGCCATCTCCAGGCACTTTTTGAATTCAGATCTTGGTGTTACTTGCAGCGTTTTGGCTCACAACCAGCCAGCTGGGAAGGAAGGAGTTACTTGGTGACCCAAAGGGACACCCAGAGCTTCCTCTTGCCATGGCAAGGCATTGAGAGGGAAGGGGATTCTGAGGTTTGTGCTTTCTGCTCTTTCCAAAGGGCATATTGGAAGAATGCCAGGGAAGTAGCTTTGCTTTGTGTATTTGGGTTTCTGAAACTTTTAATTTAATTCTGGGGAAAAACAGCGTTGTCACTCAAAATCCCACAGCTGTGCCAAAAAGGGTGATTTGGGGAGGAAAAGAAGATTCTTTTGCCTAAGAAAACAAAAAAAAAGGGCAGCCCAGCTGAAGCTGGCAGCCCACTGCAGAGCCAGAGAGCAGCGGTGCAGGGGGTTGGATGGCTGTCCATCATCCCAGTCCATCATCCCAGTCCATCAGAGCTGGGGGAGAAACCCAGCATCCCCACCAGTCCATCAGCAGGGGCTGACCTGCACTCTGCCCCAGCCCCTGCATCCTGCTCTGGCCAGGCCCTCTCAAAACTCCCCAAAATCCTTTGGGCTCTGTGCAGGGAAAGGGTTTTTGGTCCCTGCTGGGATGGGCATCACCGTGGAGGAACCTGCTGCATTTTGGCATTTTCCTGGGAACTCAGTGACTATTTCAGAGAAAAAGCAGAGTCTCTGTCATGGAACACCCCAGGGTGAGTCATGAGTGGTGGGTAAAGGGGAGGAAGTGGCTGTCTTAAAAAGAAGACATCCAGGGTCTGTGGGCAATCACTGCCCAAAGTAGTGGCAGGAGAGCACAGCTTGGAAAACTCTTAGGACATCCATGTGTGAGTGGGCCTGGCTTCATCCTGAAGGATTGTTTGTGAAAAACCACCGGGAAAATTCCACCTCAGGAGCAAGAAGCTGGAAAATGAGGATTTTCTTGGTTTGGACCCTTTTCCTCATGAGAGCCACGAGCACAGGTCAGTAAATCTGTGTCAGGGGTTCTGGCAGAGCTGTGGAGAGGCTGGGGCTGAGGCAGACCAGGAGGCTCACTGTGGTCATGGCAAAAGACCGGCTGATCCCAAACCTTTCCTCTGGTAGTTGCAGGGTGTGATCTCTGAGATTTGCTTGTTCCCTGCCATGTGGGAATAAGGCTTTTCATTCTCTCACTAACACACACCCTTGATGGGGGCTGTTTTACCAATGACTGGTGACACCTCAGCTCAGCACTGCTCACGGGCACAGTGGGTGCACAGGCACAGCCTCCCTCGGGCTGCAGCCCCGGGGCTCAGCCCCTCCATGGCTCCCAGGCATTGCCATAATGGGTTTACAGCTCCTCTCTCTGTCCCCTGCAGGTGGCTGGGCAGTGACAGGCCCCAGGCAGGTGACAGTAGAGCAGGGCAGCTCACTGGCCCTGTCCTGCAGCTACAAGCCACGCTACAAGCTCAGCTTCAAGTACTGGTGCCGCAAAAACTCCCTCTGGCCTTGCCTGACCTCCGTGATCCAAACCGACGGCTCTGAGGTGACAGTGACACGGGACAGGGTGTCCATCAGGGACAACCACACAGCGAATTCATTCACGGTGACCCTGAGCAGCGTCACAGCCGGGGATGCAGGCCGGTACTCCTGTGGGGTGAAGAAGAAAGTGGGGATCAGCCGAGGGCATAGCACCGAGGTGATGGTGTCTGCAGGTAAAACAGGGCTGGAAGCAAAGCTGCCATTAAACTCCCCCCTTGCTCCTCTTCCTCCTCTGCAGCGCTCAGGGCATTGCCCGGATACCTCCATAACCACCCCCTGCACCTGCATTGCTGAAGTCTCAGGGACAGAGGCTCCTGTGCAGGGTGCTGGGCAGAAGGTGTGGGGGATCTCCTTTGTTCTGACTCTGTTTTTCTCTAGCAGCTGCTTCAAACACAACTGGGGACAGCAACCTGAGCCCATTGACCACCAATCCTCTGTGTCCCAGGGGCTGTGGGGAGCCTCCAGTGCTGTGAGTCAGGGTTTGGGATCCAGGCAAGCCCAGAAAAAAGCATCCCCTGGGAAAAACGTTCCTTTCCCATGCATGTATCACCCAGCTTTGAATTCCCAAGGAGCATCCTGGGGGCAAGCAGGGCAGCTGGCAGGCATGCAAGTGCCCCAGTCCCCATCCTCATTCCCCAGAGCCTAAAAAGCTCTAGCACAACCCCCTTTCTCCTACACAGGTCCCAGCCCAGTGTCATCCACTTGCTGCTTCTGCTCAGCATCAAGGTGCCCGTGGCGCTGGCTGTGATTGGAGGGGCAGCGTGGGTGAGGAGCCGGGGCGGGAGCCGAGAGCAGGAGATGCTGCGGCTCTTGGGGGCATCCAGCAGCCCCGGGACACGGGGCTGCCCCCCCGTCCCGAACCCCTCCGAGCCCCAGGGCCGCCCTCCCGCCCCCCCGGCCCCCGCCCTGCCGGGGCCGCGCCTCCCCTCACGGCCGCCCCGTGCCGGGAGCTGCTCGGCTCCGGGCACCGCTGGCCCTGGGAAGCCTCGGCCCCTCCTGGCAGCCCCTGCGCCGCACAGGGAAGGGTTTGGGCTGCAGGGAGCCTCTGGCTCTTGAGCTGCAGCTGCCAACGGAAGACAATTTTGCAATAAAGGCTGTGTATCCTGCAGGGCCGTGTCTGCTTGTCTGTCTCCTGTCTATGCGTCTGTGTGTCTGCTATTTCCTTCAGCTGCCAGCACTGCCCGGGATGCCCATGGCAGCCAAAGCTGATGCACACACCTGTGTGGGGACATGCTGCATTGTGCCTGGGGGAGGGACATGGGGTGACAGGGGCCGTGCAGGCTCCACCATGGCCCAGGTGAGCTTCCTCATGGGGAGAGGAGCCCTCAGCCCCAGCAGCCTCAGCCCTGCCACCTCTGCCTGCTGGGTCCTTGCACGTTTTCGCCCCACAGCAATAGTGACCCCCACGTTGGGGGCCCGGGATCATACTGCGGGAGGAGGTTTCACCCCGAGCGCGACAGGAACACGGGGCCCGTCTGGAACCCGCTCCATCCATCCTTCCCCCGCGTCTGCAACCCCGACGCTCTCTCCGGACGCTGCTCAGGAGACCCGCGGCGCTTTCCGCTCCTTGCCAGCGCTGGCCGGGCTGCAGCTGCTGGCGCTGCTGGCCATGAGCGCGGCCGTGCCCTGGGTCAGCGTGCGGGGCCGCTGAAGCCGTGCAGGGACCCCACGGCCCGGCCGGCGCCGCTCCACCCCCGAGCGCCCCGGTGCCGACGGCGCGAGCAGGGGGAGGCCGGACCGGGGCCCCGCCGGGCCCTCCCCGCTTCCCCCGCCGGCTCCAACAAACGCTCCCGCGGCCCCGACCCTCGCATCCCCGGCGGCCCCGCTGCCCCGCAGTCCCGCTTCCCCTTCTCCGCCCCAACGGGGCGATGGCGCCGCAGGGGCGGCCCCGGGGGCGGGCCGAGCCCCGCCGAGAGCAGCCGGGAGCGGTGCCGGCCGAGCCCCGGTACCCGCACGGCCATGCAGCTCCTGCCTCTGCTCGCCTGGGCGCTGCTGCCAGGTAAGGCCGCGCCCGAGCCCCGCCTGCCGGGCCCGCGCCGTCGGGCGGGAGGCGCCGCTGCGGCGGCTGCACTGCCGCGGCTCCGTGTGTCTCCACAGGCTGCGGGGCAGTGACGGGGCCCCAAACCGTGCGGGGCTCCCTGGGGGATTCCCTCTCGGTCACCTGCAAGTACCGGCCTGGCTGGGAGAAGTTGCCCAAATTCTGGTGCACACCAAGTAGACTTATTGGTGTTACCTGTGAAAAGGACATCGTCATCACCTCGGAGTCGCAGCCCGAGGTGGTGCGGGGCCGCTTCTCCATCCGGGACAACCGCGCACGCCGGGCATTCACAGTGACCGTGGATGGCCTGTCCAAGGAGGACGCGGGCACCTTCCGCTGTGGGGTGCGAACGGAAATGGTTTTGCGTGATGTGAGTGCTGCTGTGAAGGTGATCGTGCTCCCAGGTCAGTCCCTGCACGTATCCCCAACGGCAACAGCGACAACGGGTTTGGGGTACTGGGGCCAGACCAAGGGTGGAGGTGTCACTCCGAGAGGGGAAGATGGAGGGGGAGGCGGTGCCCATCTGGCACTCCCTGCATCCATCCCTCCTTCCCATGTGCCAACCCGCCCCTCCAGCCGGACCAAGCACACACACCGCTTGCTCACAGTGCCTGTGGAGGGTCGGGCCGAGGAGGACAAGGGCACCTTGTGGTGCGGGGTGTGAATGGGAATGGAGCTGCTTGATGAGATTGCTGCTGTGAAGGGGATCGCGTTCTTGTGTCAGACTCTGCACGTTCCCCCCACAGCAGCAGTGACCCCCACGTCGCGGGACTGGGAACAGAATGCGGGAGGAGGTTCCACCCCGAGCGTGACAGGAACACGGGGCCCGGACGCCCCGCATGGGACCTGCGGCTCTTTCCGCTACTTCCCAGTGCTGGCCGGGCTGCAGCTGCTGGCGCTGCTGGCCATGAGCGCGGCCGTGCTCTGGGTCAGCGTGCGGGGCCGCTGAAGCCGTGCAGGGACCCCACGGCCCGGCCGGCGCCGCTCGACGCCCGGACTGGCAGCGGCCGCGGCCCCGGGGCCCCGCCGGGCCCTCCCCGCTTCCCCCGCCCGCTTCAATAAAGCCTTCCTGACCCCGCTCGTTATCCCGGCCTCGTCTGCTCGGCGGCCCCGCTGCCCCGCAGTCCCGCTTCCCCTTCTCCGCCCCAACGGGGCGATGGCGCCGCAGGGGCGGCCCCGGGGGCGGCCGAGCTCCGCCGAGAGCAGCCGGGAGCGGCACTGGCCGAGCCCGGCCGGGTCCCTCTCCATCGCCTGCTCGGACCGGCCGGGCCGGGGAAAAAAGGCGAAACCGTGGAGAAAACGGCAACGCTTTCTGCTGTCCCGCTGACACCATCGACAGTGCGGGCTCCATGCCCGAGGTGCAGAAGGGCCGGTTCTCCATCCGGGACAACCGCAAACACCTTGGCGTTCACGGTGACTGTGGAGCGTCTGTCCCAGGAGGACACTTGCACCTTGGTCTGGGGGTGTGAACGGGAATTTCCTCGTTTGGGAATGTCCTCGTTTGACGGCAGTGCCGCTGTGAGGACGATCGCGTTGCCAGGTCAGCACTTGTGCAGCCCGGGTCCAGCCCGGGTGTGTCCTGTGCCGAGGGCCGGCAGCGCTGGCTGCAGTGGGGCAGCGCGGGTGAGGAGCCGGGGCGGGAGCCGAGAGCAGGAGATGCTGCAGCTCTTGGGGGCATCCAGCAGCACCGGGACACGGGGCTGCCCCCCCGTCCCGAACCCCTCCGAACCCCAGGGCCGCCCTCCCGCCCCCCCGGCCCGCGCCCTGCCGGGGCCGCGCCTCCTCTCACGGCCGCCCCGTGCCGGGAGCTGCTCGGCTCCGAGCACCGCTGGCCCTGGGAAGCCTCGGCCCCTCCTGGCAGCCCCTGCGCCGCACAGGGAAGGGTTTGGGCTGCAGAGAGCCTCTGGCTCTTGAGCTGCAGCTGCCAACGGAAGACGACTTTGCAATAAAGGCTGGGTATCCTGCAGGGCTGTGTTTGCTTGTCTGTCTGTCTGTCTGTCTGTCTGTGTGTCTGCTCGTTTCTTCAGCTGCCAGCACTGCCCAGGATGTCCATGGCAGCCAAAGCTGATGCACACACCTGTGTGGGGACATGCTGCATTGTGCCTGGGGGAGGGACATGGGGTGACAGGGGCCGTGCAGGCTCCACCATGGCCCAGGTGAGCTTCCTCATGGGGAGAGGAGCCCTCAGCCCCAGCAGCCTCAGCCCTGCCACCTCTGCCTGCTGGGTCCTTGCACGTTTTCCCCCCACAGCAATAGTGACCCCCACGTTGGGATCACACTGCGGGAGGAGGTTTCACCCCGAGCGCGACAGGAACACGGGGCCCGTCTGGAACCCGCTCCATCCATCCTTCCCCCGCGTCTGCAACCCCGACGCTCTCTCCGGACGCTGCTCAGGAGACCCGCGGCGCTTTCCGCTCCTTGCCAGCGCTGGCCGGGCTGCAGCTGCTGGCGCTGCTGGCCATGAGCGCGGCCGTGCCCTGGGTCAGCGTGCGGGGCCGCTGAAGCCGTGCAGGGACCCCACGGCCCGGCCGGCGCCGCTCCACCCCCGAGCGCCCCGGTGCCGACGGCGCGAGCAGGGGGAGGCCGGACCGGGGCCCCGCCGGGCCCTCCCCGCTTCCCCCGCCGGCTCCAACAAACGCTCCCGCGGCCCCGACCCTCGCATCCCCGGCGGCCCCGCTGCCCCGCAGTCCCGCTTCCCCTTCTCCGCCCCAACGGGGCGATGGCGCCGCAGGGGCGGCCCCGGGGGCGGGCCGAGCCCCGCCGAGAGCAGCCGGGAGCGGTGCCGGCCGAGCCCCGGTACCCGCACGGCCATGCAGCTCCTGCCTCTGCTCGCCTGGGCGCTGCTGCCAGGTAAGGCCGCGCCCGAGCCCCGCCTGCCGGGCCCGCGCCGTCGGGCGGGAGGCGCCGCTGCGGCGGCTGCACTGCCGCGGCTCCGTGTGTCTCCACAGGCTGCGGGGCAGTGACGGGGCCCCAAACCGTGCGGGGCTCCCTGGGGGATTCCCTCTCGGTCACCTGCAAGTACCGGCCTGGCTGGGAGAAGTTGCCCAAATTCTGGTGCACACCAAGTACCGGGATTTTTTATACCTGTGCTGAGGACATCGTCATCACCTCGGAGTCGCAGCCCGAGGTGGTGCGGGGCCGCTTCTCCATCCGGGACAACCTCACACACCGGGCATTCACGGTGACCATGGATGATCTGTCCGAGGAGGACGCGGGCACCTTCCGCTGTGGGGTGCGAACGGGAACATTTTCGCGTGACGAGAGCGCTGATGTGAAGGTGATCGTGCTCCCAGGTCAGTCCCTGAACGTTTTCCCCACGGCAACAGAGACAACGGGTTTGGGGCGCTGGGGCCAGACCAAGGGTGGAGGTGTCACTCCGAGAGGGGAAGATGGAGAGGGAGGCGGTGCCCATCTGGCACTCCCTGCATCCATCCCTCCTTCCGATGTGCCATCCCGCCCCTCCAGCCGGACCAAGCACACACACCGCTTGCTCACAGTGACTGTGGAGGGTCTGGCCGAGGAGGACAAGGGCACCTTGTGGTGCGGGGTGTGAATGGGAATGGAGCTGCTTGCTGAGATTGCTGCTGAGATGGGGATCGCGTTCTTGTGCCAGACTCTGCACGTTCCCCCAATATCAACAGTGACCCCCACGTCGCGGGACTGGGAACAGAATGCGGGAGGAGGTTTCACCCGGACAGGAGCACGGGGCCCGTCTGGAACCAGCTCCATCCATCCTTCCCCCGCGTCTGCAGCCCCGACGCTCTCCCCGGACGCTCCTCAGGAGACCCGCGGCTCTTTCCGCTATTTCCCAGCGCTGGCCGGGCTGCAGCTGCTGGCGCTGCTGGCCATGAGCGCGGCCGTGCTCTGGGTCAGCGTGCGGGGCCGCTGAAGCCGTGCAGGGACCCCACGGCCCGGCCGGCGCCGCTCGACGCCCGGACTGGCAGCGGCCGCGGCCCCGGCGCCCCGCCGGGCCCTCCCCGCTTCCACCGCCCGCTTCAATAAAGCCTTCCTGACCCCGCTCGTTATCCCGGCCTCGTCTGCTCGGCGGCCCCGCTGCCCCGCAGTCCCGCTTCCCCTTCTCCGCCCCAACGGGGCGATGGCGCCGCAGGGGCGGCCCCGGGGGCGGCCGAGCTCCGCCGAGAGCAGCCGGGAGCGGCACTGGCCGAGCCCGGGCCGGGTCCCTCTCCATCGCCTGCTCGGACCGGCCGGGCCGGGGAAAAAAGGCGAAACCGTGGAGAAGGCGGCAACGCTTTCTGCTGTCCCGCTGACACCATCGACAGTGCGGGCTCCATGCCCGAGGTGCAGAAGGGCCGGTTCTCCATCCGGGACAACCGCAAACACCTTGGCGTTCACGGTGACCGTGGAGCGTCTGTCCCAGGAGGACACGTGCACCTTGGTCTGGGGGTGTGAACGGGAATTTCCTCGTTTGGGAATGTCCTCGTTTGACGGCAGTGCCGCTGTGAGGACGATCGCGTTGCCAGGTCAGCACTTGTGCAGCCCGGGTCCAGCCCGGGTGTGTCCTGTGCCGAGGGCCGGCAGCGCTGGCTGTGATTGGAGGGGCAGCGCGGGTGAGGAGCCGGGGCGGGAGCCGAGAGCAGGAGATGCTGCAGCTCTTGGGGGCATCCAGCAGCACCGGGACACGGGGCTGCCCCCCCGTCCCGAACCCCTCCGAGCCCCAGGGCCGCCCTCCCGCCCCCCCGGCCCGCGCCCTGCCGGGGCCGCGCCTCCCCTCACGGCCGCCCCGTGCCGGGAGCTGCTCGGCTCCGGGCACCGCTGGCCCTGGGAAGCCTCGGCCCCTCCTGGCAGCCCCTGCGCTGCACAGGGAAGGGTTTGGGCTGCAGGGAGCCTCTGGCTGCTGAGCTGCACCTGCCAACGGAAGACGATTTTGCAATAAAGGCTGGGTATCCTGCAAGATGTCTGCTTGTCTGTCTGTCTGCTTGTCTGTCTGTGTGCTCGTTCCTTCAGCTCCCAGCACTGCCCGGGATGCCCATGGCAGCCAAAGCTGATGCACACACCTGTGTGGGGACATGCTGCATCGTGCCTGGGGGGAGCACATGGGGTGACAGGGGCCGTGCAGGCTCCACCATGGCCCAGGTGAGCTTCCTCATGGGGAGAGGAGCCCTCAGCCCCAGCAGCCTCAGCCCTGCCACCTCTGCCTGCTGGGTCCTTGCACGTTTTCGCCCCACGGCAACAGTGACCCCCACGTTGGGGGCCCGGGATCACACTGCGGGAGGAGGTTTCACCCCGAGCGTGACAGGAACACGGGGCCCGTCTGGAACCAGCTCCATCCATCCTTCCCCCGCATCTGCAGCCCCGACGCTCTCCCCGGACGCTGCTCAGGAGACCCGCGGCTCTTTCCGCTCCTTGCCAGCGCTGGCCGGGCTGCAGCTGCTGGCGCTGCTGGCCATGAGCGCGGCCGTGCTCTGGGTCAGCGTGCGGGGCCGCTGAAGCCGTGCAGGGACCCCACGGCCCGGCCGGCGCCGCTCCACCCCCGAGCGCCCCGGTGCCGACGGCGCGAGCAGGGGGAGGCCGGACCGGGGCCCCGCCGGGCCCTCCCCGCTTCCCCCGCCGGCTCCAACAAACGCTCCCGCGGCCCCGATCCTCGCATCCCCGGCGGCCCCGCTGCCCCGCAGTCCCGCTTCCCCTTCTCCGCCCCAACGGGGCGATGGCGCCGCAGGGGCGGCCCCGGGGGCGGGCCGAGCCCCGCCGAGAGCAGCCGGGAGCGGTGCCGGCCGAGCCCCGGTACCCGCACGGCCATGCAGCTCCTGCCTCTGCTCGCCTGGGCGCTGCTGCCAGGTAAGGCCGCGCCCGAGCCCCGCCTGCCGGGCCCGCGCCGTCGGGCGGGAGGCGCCGCTGCGGCGGCTGCACTGCCGCGGCTCCGTGTGTCTCCACAGGCTGCGGGGCAGTGACGGGGCCCAAAACCGTGCGGGGATTCCTGGGGGATTCCCTCTCGGTCACCTGCACGTACCGGACGGGCTGGGAGGAGTTGCCGAAATTCTGGTGCACACCAAGTACAGGGATTTTTTATACCTGTGCTGAGGACATCGTGATCACCTCGGAGTCGCAGCCCGAGGTGCTGCAGGGCCGCTTCTCCATCCGGGACAACCGCGCACACCGGGCATTCACGGTGACGGTGGATGATCTGTCCGAGGAGGACGCGGGCACCTTCCGCTGTGGGGTGCGAACGGGAAGATTTTTGCGTGATGAGAGTGCTGCTGTGAAGGTGATCGTGCTCCCAGGTCAGTGCTTGTGGGCTGCAGGGGCCCCAGATCTGTCATGGATGTGTCCTTCTCCAGCTGCTTGGAGCAGGGGCTGCAGTGTGAGCAGCCTGGAGCTGATGGGTGCCATGCAGGTGGGGCAGCCCCAGGGTGTGACACCAGAGTGCTGTAGGTGCCACCATCACTCATTCCCCCTTTTTTGTTCTACCCTGAGCCCCTTCTTTGCCTGCTCGGTTCAGCCATCTCCATTACTGAGGTGTACTGTGCTCTCTGTGACCACTTTTCTTCCTCATTTGCTCTTTCTGGCCTTTTCTGTGCCGCCCTTGCCTTCCTGTGTAACACTGGGTGTTCCTCATTGCACTCTGCTGCCCCGTTTCCCACCTGGGACCTGCAGCACCTCTGGGCACCAGGCCTTGGGCTTGGGAAGCATCCCTCTCCATTGCCTTGCCAGGGATCAGCCTGCACAGCAGGACAATATATATGTGCTGTGACAATATATATGTGCTAGTAATAAACTGGGCATGGGGTGCCCAGACCCCTTTCTGCAGGCTCAATCTGTTTTGTGCATGTTTTGTGGGGGACTTCGACTCTGAAAAGCTTCATGGGCAGAGGAAGGGTCTTACAGTACTCTGACCTCGAGATGTGCCCCCTGGATGTGCCAGAGGGGACCCAACTTCTCCTCCTGTGACAGCATGTATGGCACTTCTGACTCACTGCAAAACCCACAGCATCTTTCTCCACAGAGATCAACCATGCCTCTCCTCTTTTTGTTACAGCTTCTTCCACCCTCCCATCATCGACCTACGTGACCACCACGTCCTCTGATCTCATTCCCTCTGTACCAGGCCACACACAGACAATTTCCCAGGAGGAAATTTTGCAATCGACATCAAATCCCTCCACCCCTCAACCGTGAGTAGCAGCTCCTGCCTACAGCAGCCACTTTCCTCCATGAGCTCTCTGGTGCAGCTGGAGCCCTGCAAACATAGGAGACTTCACACCTCCCTTAAGGATCCAGACCTCCTGGTTTTGCCTTCAGAGACCACTCCACATGGGAAAATTCTTCTCTTTGAGGGTGGTGAGGTCCTGGCACAGGTTGCCCAGAGATGTTGTGGATGCCCCATCCCTGTTCAGGGCCAGGCTGGATGGGGCTCAGAGCAGCCTGGCCTAGTGGAAGGTGTCCCTTCCAGTGACAGAGGGTTGGAACTGGATAATCTTTAAGGCCCCCTCTGACCCAAATAATTCTCTAATTCTATGACAGTAATTGCAGTGCCTCTAGTCACATGGCAGAAGTGGTTTCTGCCTGCAATACCGACCCCATTTCCTTCCCCAAAACTCAGTGAGACTGTTCATGGGAAGCCAAGTGCTGCCCAGTGTCCTGTTCTTTGTAGTTACACACAGCCTGGTAGACACAGTTGAAAAAGCATGAAACCAGCAGGTTAGATCTTCCCCTCTTCTCTCCTGCCTGTGGGAGGTGATGCCAGCAGCAGACAAAGCTGAGACTCTGCATCTGCACACTCAAGGGTGTGCTGGCTCACCAACTTCCTGCTTGCCCATTACAAACAAGGTTAACACAGAGTGGAGTTAAACCAGAGCAAATGCAGGAACCCACCCTTAAATCACTGAAGACACAGTGGCTCTCAGACCCAAGCATCCTTTTGCTTCTGCAGTTTTTGGTTTGCTCTGCCCCATGCCCAGCTGGCAGCCTGACCATCCCGTGCCTGCTGTGATGGGCAGGCCCTGCCACTCTACTGCCACAGCCCCTTTCTGTGTCCCCCACAGCTGCTTCCTGCAACCCTGCTCCGTGCTGGTTCATCCTGAGAAGCATGACAACATAAATTGTCTTCTTCATTCTTTTTTTCTTGCAGCTTGAGCGTGGTTGAGCACATCCTCACTCCAGCCATCATTGTGGTCCTTTTTTTGCTTGCAGTGGCTGCTGGTGTTCTAGTAATACTCTCCAGAAAGAAGAAGGGTGAGTGAAATTGTCAGTGCCACACACATCCTGTTTCTGTAACAGAGCATGCTCTGCTTCCTTTATTTTTCCCCTCTGTTTCTTTTTCCTCCCCCATTGCCTTCCTGATCCATCCAGTTCCTCAGTGCATCATTGAGACCTCCACCAGGAGGTTTCCTTCCCTCAAGGGGGCAGTGGGTCCATGCCATGGGTGCTGTCCCATGGGTGTTGTCCCCTGGGAGCAGGGGATGACAGCCCTTGGGGTGGCTGCTGCTGGGCACAGAATCTGCTTGAGTTTCTCTGGGCACCATCACTTGCATGGGCCAGGCTTACACTAGGCTGGATTCAAAGTTTAAGGCCAGTGTGAGGGCTGGGGAGGGACAGGAGAGGACATTGCCAGCTGGCAGGTGGGGTCTGGCTTTATTTGAAGAGGGGCTCCAGTTTAAATGGCTCATGGAATGTCAGGTTCCTGTCCTGCTTTATGGCAAGATTTGCATTTTCTCAACTCGTTTCTTTTCCTCTGTTTTCACTCATGTCCAGCCACATCCATGCTTCATCCAGCCCTTTCTGGAGCAGTCATAGAGATGGACAGGACTTGCAGCATGTCACCTACAGTAAGGAAAACCTCATGAGTTGTTGGGATTCTGTGCCCCAAGTTCACATGAAGAGGGGAAACCTTACACCCCGAGCTGCCAGAGCTGCTGCTTTCAGCCAGGTTCA